GGCACCAATCAGCAAAGACCAACAGCAACGACAATAACCACAAGCGCATTCAGCAAAAGCCACAACAAACAACCAACAAGAACATGAACCAAAACAAGCGACGAAGCAACAAACCAAGCAACGTGTTGAAATAGTCCGGCCGGCGCAGTCGCGCAGTCTCTTTGTTTTCTTTGCATTCAACATGCACTTGTTTTACGTGGCTGTGGTCTGCTGCTGGGGGGGGGCGCTGCGCCCCCCAACCCCCCCCGCACCACGAAATCTGCACTTCATCTCCAACACCCGCGCCTGCCACGAAATCACATTTTAAGGTGAACCCCCTGCAGCAAAACACCTTCTCCACCAACCAACCAAGCCCCCGGGGGGGGGAACCCTCCCCCCCCTGCTCTTGCCGGCGGGGGCGGGGGGGGGGGGGACCCCCCCCCCCCCGGGTTTTTGGGGGGGGGGGTGGTTCACCCCCATCGTGGAACGATGAAGGTGCCTACTATGAAGCTGATGAGTGGGCTGTCGAAGACTACATGCCCGACGAGGAGGACGCCTTCGACTATGATGCTGGTTACTATGGTGAAGAAGAGCCAGTTGATGAGTATGGCGAACCAGCCGAGGAACCTCACGAACTCGCTGAACAATATGATCATGCCTATGCGACCTACTTGGACGCCCGGCAGAGGTTCCAGCAGTTGAAACTGGCTCGAGGCTATCTTCCTGTTGTGGCCCTGACCGATGGCAGCACCGCCACGCCAGTTGCTGCAAGCTCCTCCTCACCGAAAGGAAAAGATCGCAGTTCTTCCAAGGGCAAAGGAAAATCCAAGAACAAGCACAAGGGCTATGGCAAGAATGTTGTGCGCTGGCGCTACCCCTCAAGCGGTGGCAAAGCTGCTGATCCAAAGGGGCAAGCTCAGGCCACGACTTGCCTTCGCTGTGGCCAACCTGGTCACTGGGCTGCACAATGCCCTCAGTCAGCACGGTCTTCATCGTCTCCCAACAAGCGACCGGCTCCTTCGACTACCACTGAAGGCATGGCAGTGCATGCCGAGAAAGCTTTGGTATTGTTCCAAGATGAACATGGTGAAGAACGCCCTGACGCTACGATGCTGGATCCTGGTGCCTCAGCTTTCCTCAGCGGCTATGGACCGTTCAAGCGCTACCTGGACCACTTGAGTTCCTTGAACTACCCGGTCAACACCATCCGGTTTGCCCGCTGTGACAGGCAGTTCCACTTTGGTGGTGACGCTTCCTCTCAAGCTCGCTGGACGGTGGACCTTCCAGTGATGTTGGACGACCGCTTCGGCACCATCCAATGCTACTTGGTTCCGGGCAACACTCCCATGCTGATGGGGAGACCAGTGATCGAGGCTCTCCAGATGGGCATTGACTTCAGCCAGAAGCAGATTCGCTTCGGCAGTTCGCCATGGCATCCGGTCCTGGTCGGCAAGCACGGTGAGTATCTCCTCAGCCTCACCAATGGCATGGAGCATGTACCTGATCCAACCAAGTCGCTGTTCGCCCTGCAGATTGCAGAGGAGGTTCCTGGCAGTCACTTGCCTTCAACGACTTGGAGCACATCTTCACGGCGAATGACCAGATCCTTGCCGACAATGGCCTGGAGCTTCCTCTACTACATCGATACACCCTTCGAACTATGGAGGTTCAATTGACCACGTCAGTGAACGCCACTGAGGCCTACATCACCAGCGAACTACATCCAACCGCAACGGCAAATCAGAGAGCGCTGTGGGAGGTCTACTGCGGCAAAGCACGAACCGGCCAACACGCCGAGGAGATGGGCATGAAGGTCGAACGCTTCTCTCTGGAAACTGGCTGGGACTTCAACCTGAAGAATCACCAAGCCCAGTTCTTGCAGCGCCTGGACGCTGAAGAGCCTGATGAAGTTCTACTTGCCCCTGAATGCAAAGTCTGGTCTCGCATGCAGGCCCTGGCCTGCAGAACAGCCGCTCAGCAAGAAGCTCTTGTGGCCCGCCGTGAGCATCATCATCGACGACATCTCACCTTCGCCAAGCGAGTGTTCCTCCGACAAGTCAGTCACGGCCGCCATGCACATCTTGAGCAATCACGTCACGCACTCAGCTGGCACACCCAAGCTCTGAAATCGCTTCCTGGCTACAATGCCGACTTTGACCAATGCCGGTATGGAGCTATGTGCATGGACGTCGATGGACAATGGAGGCCAGTGCAGAAGAGCGCCAGGATGTTGACCACCAAGAAGTCCGTTCTGGCAGCCCTGCACTTGAAATGTGAACACGACCATCAACACTGCCCACTTGAAGGAGCTGCTCCCGGCTATGGCCCTCGCACGACCTACCTCGAGGACTACCAGCCCGCCTTTGCTGCCACCCTGGCTGCAGCGATTGCTCAACCTGAGCCGGCACAACTATGGGATTCAGCTTTTGCGGTTGACGCCTCCGAGAAGAAGGCCACAGGACACCTTTTCAAGCTGCAGTCGGAAAATCGACAGGACGCACTTCGCACAGTCCAACGACTGCACCGCAACTTGGGCCATCCAGCACCTGAGGCCTTGGCTGATTTGTTGATGGCTCGTGGAGCTCACTCCTCCGTGGTGTCTGCCGCCAAGGAGTACAAGTGTGTTGCCTGCCTCAAGCACAAGAAGCCAAATCAAGTGGCACCTTCCTCAATGCCACAACAGCGAAGTTTCAATGAGGCCATCCAAGCCGATGTCTTCTACCTCAAGCCTGCGGACCGCAAGTATGCCATAGCCATACTCAGCATCGTTGATGTTGGCACCAAGTACATGGCCGCCTGCTGGGTTCCTGAGGAGACCTCAGATTCCTACATCAAGGCCCTGGAGAAGACCTGGGTCCGTCACTTCGGACCACCTCGCATCCTCATCACCGATGAGGGACGTCCTTGGCTTGGAGGACCCTTTGAAAGCTGGACCAGTGCACTTGGCATTGATCATCAGGTGGCCCCTGGCGAAGCCCATGAACGATTGGCTCTGGTCGAAAGGCGACATGCCGTCATCAGAAGAGCCTGTGAGGTCTACATGACTGACCGCAAGCTGACAGACCACCATAGCATCAAAGAGTCCCTGAACTATGCCATCCCGCAGCAAAATGCCACTCCATCAGTGGCCGGGTTCACCCAAGTCAATGGGCGCTTGGCTATCAGCCGGAGCTGTCATATCTCCTTGACTCCAACCTCAACGCTGCTCAGCTCGCTGGCAACAACTACTCCTTCGAGCAGAACCTGGAGCGCCGGACAGCCGCCAAACTGGCCTTGACGAATGCTGATGCTGACTCCAAGCTTCGTCGAGCTTTGAGCAGAAAATACCAAGGTCACTCACCACGTCCGCGGCGACATCCTTGGCCCTCAACATGTTTTGGACGACATGCAATCTGCCTTGAACACCGTCAGACAGCTCAAGTCTCGCGGAGTCACCCGCTATATACTATGATCTTCGAAGGGCCAATCGCCAACAACTGGACGATGTGGAGGAGGATGAACGGCAGGATGATCTCAATGGACCTCTTCATGATGAAGCTGATGAACCACCACGTCATCGCCTACGACTGGAGATCCCTGAGAACACTGGTTCAGGCACCAATCCTGAAGAGCCACCGGCGCGTACCGTTGAAGCTGAGGAACACACTCCTACTTCACCGGCACACTCCGGATATGCACCGACATCCCCACTGACAATACCAGCAGTGCCGG